CCAACTAACAGAGTCATACAGAAACTAAGTCTGGATATCAAGCCAACAAGACGGACTTGATAGCCAGACATCAGGGTATCAAGCCAACAAGACAAGAAATTCGACTAAGGCATGGTGACTAGCTGAGGTGGCCACCCAACTATGGATGGATCGACCAGGATGCCGAGCTCAGCCCTTATGAGGCCATATGGAGACAAAGTCCAAAGACGGGATTGGTAGCACCTTCACGGGGTACCAAACCGGCAGGGTGCAACTTACCACTTGACGAGGCTACAAAAACTAAGTATGGAGACCAAGCCACCAAGACTGGCTTAGTAGCAAGGGGTGTCAAGTTGATTACATGGGCTTGGTGGCACGTCAGAAGGTATCAAGCCGATGAGACGGTTTGGTAACAACCAACAAGTTAATGAGAAGGACTTGGTGTCATGAGGTGGTAGCGGACTCAGGAGCGGGGAGTCATCAAGCAGTCGAGGGTGAAATCAAGACCTCATAATGGTTCATAGAGGCTAAGGCAAGAGCCTCAACCCCATCCAGTCATGACAAGGCGACAAGGATCAACAACAACCCGACCCGGCATCGAGGCCATCAAGTACCCACCATCCCAAGACGGGAAAAGGGCCACCAAGGTGACGGTTACCAACTAGTCACCAAGGCGGCGACAAGGACCCCGAGGCGGTTTGGAGCAACAAGCCAGCTAGCGGTTACAAAGGAAGTTACCAAGGAAGTTACACTTGATGTCTATAAATAGGAGAAACTAAAATTGTAAAAGGGTTCCACAACCAACCATTTGACACACTATGTCAAACTTTTATCCTTTTCTCTGCGAATTAGCCATAGCCCTTAGTTTTTAGAGCTCTCACTGAACCTCCATAGGAGTAGAGTAACATAACTTAGATTATTCCCAAAAACCATCAAAAACATCAAACACCCTCGTTCGAACATTGTTCGGAGAGGTGTGAACCGTGTTGATTGTCGTTGTTCAAGAAGTCAAAGGTGCATTCATAGTGTTCAAACACAAGTTTTTCCTCGCCGAAAAACAGCACCTCTTCGAGCAGTTCCCAATCCGACTGCGCGCACTCGGAACCGCGTATGTCCAATTGGGTGGAAGACCGAGCCCGCGCACAACCCTTTCCACGTCGCTCCTCCCAAGCTCTGATACATGATCTGGACCGCGCACCAAATTATCACTCGGCACGGACCCAACTTCAAACATATCAGCCCGATCTATGATGGTGTAGGCCGCGCTAACCCCAGCAACTCCAAGGCGGCTACTCGCCTCTGTCACACAAACTACCGGTTGAGGTTATTCTGCCTCCCGAGGGCGGTCCGACTCGGTCTCAGAAATCTCGAGTGAATTAGACCCCCCCGGAGAATCAACCGCCCCAGGGCGAACCACCAAAACCCCACGGGGGGCATCTACCGCCCGAGAAGTACCTTCCCCAGAAGGATCTCGCGGCTGATCACACCCTTTACCTTCGTCGGACGCGCTGTGTAAAAGATCAGCACAACCACTAGAACCGAATGAGGGTGTATGCGGAAACTCCCCACCGAACAATTGACCATCCAAACCAGACAAATCAAAAGACGCTTTAGATAGATTGAGCATGTTACCTTCTTCGTCGAAGTCGACCACAACCTCTGCCGCCTTCTTCTCCTCAGCCATCACGCACAACACAGGGGCAAAGCAAACGAGAGGAAAGGGGTCGAAAAAGAAGGAGAAGGAACACGATCGTCAGAAAATGAAAGAAGGAAGATGAGAAATGGAAAAAGCAATCGACTTAGACCCCATTTATATACTAACGGAACAAAGAAAGCAAACCGTCGGATGACGCATCGAGAAACGGGAGATACGTCGAATCGCAATCCCGAGTTTGATTGCGGCCGCCTCGGCAACAGCAATTTCGCCGCCAAAATTTTTGAAATTCAAAAACACCGCACGCACGAACCAACAGTAAGACGACACGTGGCAAAGTGAAACGAAAGCATGTTGTCAGGCGACCTTTCATATTCCAACGTCAGCAGAAGCTACTCCTAGGACCTATCTTCAGTAGGGGGCATAAACCTGTCACGCCCAACGTGGCGCGTTCACAACGAGTGCACGCGTCACTCTGGAACGCTAAACGCACACATGCAATCAGCGCCTCAGAGCCGTGCTACATTCCGCATCGCCGGCCGCGCGAAATTTCATACGTACGCGCTAGGACCGTAACCAGCGGAGATGGGTCGAAGAACTAGCTCCTGCTGGGGGGGGGGGCAATTGTTGGGGGAAGAGACTAAGTCGTCGCCCGCCGAGTAGCCGCGCCCGGAGAACCCCAAACACGCGCGACTCTAGCAGGACAAGGACAGCGCCTGACAACACGTCCCGTCGTATGCACTTCTTACCTACCACAACGGGGATATAAATACAGCATTTACCACAAAGAGAAGGGGATCGATCATAAAGACCAAACCATTCTCTCTCTAACTTTCTCTGTCTACACTTTCTCTCTGTAACCTCTCCGTTCCTGCTTTATAATAATATAATCTCTTGGCGCGTTGCTTACCAATCTTACTCAAACACCCTTACTAATACACAGTGTCTCCCTCCTACCCCCACAAGCGAGACATAAACAGGAATAAACTTGAATGCTTAGAGTAGTTTTGCCCACAAACACCTACCAACCAGTATTTTAATATAGCAACACAAGTGATAACTTTTTTTATTTTCAAATTGTACATTACCAATAAGACGATCGAAATATTATGAGAAAAATAAATTAGTGACTTATAAATCAAGTGATAAAGTATAAGAGTTGACACGGTGTATCATAACTTATAAAGTTCAATTCTCACAACCTATCATTCTGAGAAAATTATTATAGTGACTAATTAAAATATTGAAAATTCTGAATCATCAAATCTCATGAGTTTGTCGTGTACTCATGAGGCTCAAGGTAATCTCATATGCGTGTACCAAGATCCCCGAGATTTTTCCAGAAATAGCACTGTTTAAAAAAAAATTCCAAAAATAGCACCCAACTCCGAAAAATTCCAAAAATAGCACCATTTTTGTAAAACCGCCACCCGGAGGTGCGTTTTTCGATGAAAACGCCACCCGAGGGCGCGTTTTTTTATGAAAACCGCACTGGTAGGGAGCGGTTTTGCAGACCGCACCCCCAGGGTGCGATCTGCTTTTTTTTTTTTTTTTTTTTTGCAAACCGCACCCCCAGGGTGCGTTCTGCCATTTTTTTTTTTTTTTGAAAAATCCTAATAAACTTCAAACGAACGTATCTTTATGTTCGGGTATCCGATCGTCACGATTATTTTTTTTATTCCGCATAACTTTTTGAGATCTTGCAAGCCGAAGACTGCCAAAGGTAGTTTGGTCTCGCCTTCGTACCAAAAAATGTCGTTTGCTACCCCGAACGAGCTTTTTCCCGATTTCGTCAAACTTTGGACAACCATAACTTTGTGCTCCAAAATCCAAACGGCATGAAATTTTTTTTTATTTCGCATAACTTTTTAAGGACTACAATTTTTACTAGGAATGTATTTTCAAAACAGGAATTATTTTTGGATATACAGGATTTTGGGAATAGCTTATCTTCCCTTCTCAGCAATCCACGTACATTTTGAAATTATGTCTATGATAAAAGTTGTATTCCTTAAAAATTTATGCGAAATAAAAAAAAATTTCATGTCGTTTGGATTTTGGAGCACAAAGTTATGGTTGTCCAAAGTTTGACGAAATCGGAAAAAAGTTCGTTCAGGGTAGCAAACGACATTTTCTGGGACGAAGGCGAGACCAAACCACCTTTGGCAGTCTTCGGCTTGCAAGATCTCAAAAAGTTATGCGGAATCAAAAAAAAAATCGCGACGATCGGATACCCGAACATAAAGATACGTTCGTTTGAAGTTTCCACCTAAGTTAGTATTTTTCAAAAAAAAAAAAAAAGGCAGAACGCACCCTGGGGGTGCGGTTTGCAAAAAAAAAAAAAAGCAGATCGCACCCTGGGGGTGCGGTCTGCAAAACCGCTCCCTACCAGTGCGGTTTTCATCGAAAAACGCGCCCTCGGGTGGCGTTTTCATCGAAAAACACACCTCCAGGTGGCGGTTTTACAAAAATGGTGCTATTTTTGGAATTTTTCGGAGCTGGGTGCTATTTTTGGAATTTTTTTTAAACAGTGCTATTTCTGGAAAAATCTCAAGATCCCCGACCCATTATCAAAACGACATAATTTTTTTTAAGACATTGGACTAAATAGATTAAGCCTTCTGGCCATCGAATCTCATGAGTTTGTCATGTACTCATGAGTATGGTTGTTAATGAACCAAATCGCTTATGAACGGTTCGATGTCCGACTCGAGAAAAACTCGTTCGACACTCGATTCGTCTTAATCGAGTTGGCTCGCGAACAAGCTCGTTAACTAAACGAGCCGAACTCGAGCCATACATACCATGCTTAACTCGAAAGCTCGTGAACAAGCTCATTTAATGGTTTGGCATAAAAAATTATTAGAATTCATAGATTATATGTATTGGAATTGAGATAAATATTGTGTTTTACTTTGATAGACTTTGCTATAGGTTTGAATACAATTTTGTGCTCAGTTATAGGTCAATCTTGAGCTATCATGAACATTTTATGAGTTGAACTCGATTTTGGACTCGTTAAACTTATTTGACGAGTCGAGCTCGAGCTTTCATTTTCGTAAACGAGCCGAACTCGAGCTTGCATATTAAAGCTCGTGACGAACACGAGCCGAGCTCGAGCCTGGAAATATATTAACGAGCCGAGTCCGAACTATGGCAAAGCTCGGCTCGATTCGGCTCATTAAGAGCGTAATCTGTGTACCAAGATCCCCGACCCATTATCAAAACGACATAAAGATTTTTTAAGACATTGGACTAAATCGATTAAGCCTTCTGGCCTCTGAGTAACCTCCTGATTCCTGCTTCCAGCAAAACTCTCTTATTAGAGATAACCAATAACCATGATCCTGTTAGGGGAGTAAGCTCAGAGTAAAAAGGAGCATAACGTAGAATATATCACAGTTGGTACAATCCATCTTTGCTATATGAATGAACATACAAACATACATAGACTGTTTTGATTCAGTTGGTTGATGACAGTTGGTACAACAAATCAATCAAATACACTCGAAGCCATTGTTCCAGAAAGCATCATCCCGAATCGAAAATAAAAGGGTGCTGATACAATCTGCTCTTTTGCAAAACATTATTTGCACAAACGCTATAATATACAGTAGAGCCAGCCAGTGAAGCTCTTTAGGTGATGGATTTCTGGGAATGATGAGAAGAAGGGCGCTATAGATTTGAGAGAGAAGTACTGGGTTGTCTCTATAGGTGTCAAAACATGACCCGACCCGAGTAACCCGCCCAACCAATCTGATCCGCGAACCGCCCGCAACCCGATTTGACTAAAAGTCAAAGACCCGCAACCCGCCCGACCCGCAACCCGCTTGACCCGCTTAACCCGCAACCCGCTTGACCCGCAACCCGCTTAACCCGAACCCGATTGACCCGCAACCCGCTTGACCCGCAACCCGACTAACCCGAACCCGATGAACCCAACCCGAACCCGCCCGATTGGCACGAATAATACTACATAATATATTTTTGTGCATAAATATTATATGTAGATAATATATATATAAAGTTTATGTGACTTGCCCTATTATTTTTTCATCTTTCCCACCAAGAACAAAGGTTTACTTTGTGTTGACAAATAAAAACTGTCATTTAATTGAATCACATAATAGTCTCACTATCTCGGTAGATAAGTAGAAATCCTAGGAGGGTTGTCAACATTTTTTTCATTTGGTTGATGTGTATAAATAATATATATATATAACACATACATATGAAAAACCTGATTGACTTAATTAAGCCAATCATATATCAATACCTAATAATTACAACATTTTTTCTTCCACACATTAAATAACTGGTCACATAACATTGTCAAAATATTAACCTAGCATACGAAGATTCATAATAGTACATAAGTCATAACTCATACCCTAGCCCCAATAATAAGAAGATACATAATAGTTTGCTTACTAAGTTCTACCATATAAAAAATAGTAGGATACAAATACATAACTAACATTGTCACATCTTACATACCAACAAAATAGGTTCACAAATTAAAATGGCAATTCACTTGGCGATCAATCAACAAGCTTAACTTCTTCTCCATCATATTCTGCATCTTCATTATCCTCATCTGTACAATTAGTCATTGAAAGTAAAAACATCATTGTAAGTAAACTCTCACCTACTTTAGTAAACACAAAAAAATAGAAATTTTCTTACCCATTTTATATCCATGCATCCAATTACGAGTTGTCACAACAGCTTCAAGGGTATCAGACAAAATGGAAGTCCTCCATTTGGATAATATTCTACCTCCCAAACTAAAAGACGACTCGGAAGCAACTGATGAAATTGGAATAGAAAGCACATCTTTTGCCATCCGAGAGAGTTGAGGATATCGAAATTGATGATCCTTCCAATATTGCAATACTTCAAAAGGAAGCAATGTAGGAACCCCATCAATGTCTGCATAAGCAGGAATTAAAGGATCCGCCAAATATAACTCCAACTCGGATCTAGTTGATGTGTTCTGATTGATATTGGAAGCATAGAAACCCTGAAAATAAACATATCATCAATAATCAGACATAAGATCGAAAGAAGTATAAACAACAAGATGACTCAAAAGGTAATTAGAATACTTACAGCAGTGTGGCTATCCAAAGGAATGCTCGGAGAAGCCATATGCACCACATTTTGACTAGGTAAAGTGGACGATTGAGTTTTGTACTCCTTAAAGAGCATCTCCAAATCATCCATAATAGCCTTCGGCTTTGAAGTGTACTCTTCGCCCAACTTTTCATAGCAAAATTTGACAAATGCAAGCTTGTAACGAGGATCCAAAATGACACCAAAAGCAAGCACTAAGTTGTAGTCTTTCCAATATTTCAAGAACTTGGACATCATTGTGTTACCCATACCTCTCATATCATCATCAAAACTTATACAAAGATTCTTCAGCTCAAGATGGATCTTCCAACATTCTCGAAAAACAAGTTACTTGTTGGATACTTGGTTCCCGAGAATAACTTCGTGATTTCATCAAATGGCTTCAAAAAATTTGCAAGCACTTTCATTCTCTCCCAATCATTATTTGATGGACAATCCTTATACTCATTATCCAACCTTGCTAAGTTGACAAAAGCTTCACGATAAAAGATTGCTCGATCAATCATATTGTAAGTTGAATTCCATCTTGTTGGCACATCAAGCCACAACGACTTTGACTGTTTCATCCCACTTTGTTCAACACACTCCTTAAACTTAATCTTTCTTCCTTCAGATCCCTCAACATACTTGACGCTTTCTCTAACAGATTTGATACCATCTCTAATCACCTTCAACCCATCTTGCGTGGACTAGTTGGCTTCAGTGATGGTCTTTCCAACTCAAGGTACATGGTTCAAAGCCTAGCAAAGGCATATTTTTTTTAACTTGTTTTTGCTAACTGAATTTTAAAATAAAAAGTTAATTAATGGTTCACAACTTAGTAAGATCATCCTTAAAATTTATTTTATGTCAACGTATACATAAAATTCACTTAATGTATAGCATAGTTAGTAAAATACGGTACGGGAAAGTTACGTATAAAATACTTACGGGTATTATACTTTTCTAAATAACTGAATACAAAATTGACTTAACTAACATTCTTTACATATCATACGTTATAGTTTATACTTTATACCAACAATTTCATAACACATAACTATAGTTCATGGTTTAAGGTTAGTGTATAGGGTATACGGTAGTGGACTCGTGGTTTAGAGTTTGGAGTCATAGAACGTATGTTCTTCTCAATAACCGAATATAAAATTGACTCAACTTACATTCTTCACATAACATACGTTATAGCTTATACTAACAATTTCATAACATATAACTATAGTATAGGGTTTAGGGTTAGGGTCTAGGGTTTAGGGTTAGGGTTAGGGTTTAGGGTTTAGGGTTAGGGTTAGGGTTTAGGGTTTATTCATGTTATGCTTTATGTTGGATATTTTGATTTTTATAGTTTATTAATTAATTTGATTTTAACAATTAGTTTAACTTGTGAATATACATCTTAAATATATCATATTCAAATGACATTCCGACCAACGAATCGAACAACAAACTAGTTAATCGGTATAAAATTTATCATCTATAATAATAAATATCAAAGAAAGGAAGAACTAGATGTTTATAGAAATTTTTTGAATACAAAATTCAAAACCCCCCAAATCTTTGCTCAAAAATTTCCTTGCAAACCCATTTTTTTTTTAAAAATCCCTCTCATAAACCCCCTTCCCCCAATATTTGATCAAAAATTGAAAATTCCCTCCCACCTCCCCCAATATTTGATCCAAAATTGAAATTCCCCCCATCCCAACCTAGTTTTCTACGGAAAAAATATCTGTCTTCTAGGATCGATAAAAAAAAAAAAAAAAAAGGAAACACAAAAATCGGTCTTTGCCTTCTCTCTCTATCTCGGCCCCTTTCCCTTTCCCTTATCCTTTCTGCGCCTCTCTCTCAAATCACAATCGGAAAAAAAAACCCTCCCTTCTCCTTCTCCTTCCCCTCCGCCGCCTAGTTGTCGTCGCCGTTGTTGTTATTGACGGAAGCAGAGGAAGCGGAAGCAGCCCAAGGTTTTCCTCAGGTAGACTTTTCGCTTTTACTTTGTTTGTATTCTGCTTCATTCATCCGAGTTTTGGTACTTGGTTATTTTGGGGATTCCAATTTTTTGCTTTGTTTTACAGCTCTAAGAAGACTGGGAAAGGGAAGAGGCCTGGGAAGGGCGGGAACCGCTTCTGGAAGAGCATTGGCTTGGGGTTTAAGACTCCGAGATAAGCAATTGAAGGTCTGTTTATGCTCTCTTTACCATTTTTGGCTGCTTATACGGTTAAACTCTTAAGGGATTTGATGCTTGTGAAATGCAATACCCAACTATTTTTTTTTTTTATGAAGAATACCCAACTACTTTTTAGCTCCTTATTTCTGCCGTGTAGGTGTTATTCTTGAAATGGCCTTATAAGCCCTCCTGAACCACAAAAGGGTTGCTTAAGGAATCAAAATGTGTAGTAGTGCGACTATCGTACCACTTAACCCATGTATTTTAAATTAATGTTGCATACTTGCATATAACAGGAGATGTGATTGCCTGATCAGGGTGCTCTCCTAAGTAAACCTATTTAAGACCTACATTTTTAAAACTCACAGGACTTGATTTGTTTCACTTCATATCCAAGAGGAGTAGGATTCAACCAAAAGTTAGAAATAACTGTCAGCGTCCTATTTCCTTCTTAGTCCTGATCCAGAAAGTACCAATATGATTTCCCCACTTATATGAAATCAATTAGGACAACTGTAGAAGTGTCCATTATGGGAACGAATAGAAATAGTGAACAATAGAAGTCAAGGCAACCGGACTAAACTAAAATAACTTACCACTACTTTTGCTCTGGTTATGGACTTTTTCGTTTCTTTTTTCCAGAAGCAATGGACGCCAGAGCTAGAAGAAGCAAAATTTGGGAGAATTTCACTCAAGTTGAATCAGAGGGGGAGGTCAAGCTTCAATGCAACCATTGCATGAAGGTTGTTGGATGCTATCCTAATAAGAATGGGACAGTTTCACTGTGGAGGCATATTAAAATATGCAGTAAGAGAAATCTTCAAGATTAATGGAGCATTATGTACTTTTCTGTATTTCATTCTATTATATTTGGTTAAACATCATGTAATGGTCTTAACTATCAAGACTCAAGAGATTGTCTTATAGGTTTATGATCAAGCAAGGTATCAGCTTTTTAATTTCTTATATTAGTTCTGTAACCTTAATGAATCCTCTGCAAAATCAAACTTGTTTATGATATATTCAAGCAAAATCTAGTCACTCATTTGTTTAATAATGTATCTTCATGTTTTTTTCATTGCAATATGGTGATCGGTGAGTTTGTTTTAAATTAGTGTAGTAACTAATTATAAAAAAACTCGATGGTTTGGACCGAACAACCCGCAACCCGACCTGTTGTAACCCGCAATCCGATCAACCCGAACCCGATTGAACCGCAACCCGATCAACCCGTAACCCGATTGATCCGCAACCCGATCAACCCGAACCCGATCAACCCGCAACCCGATCAACCCGCAACCCAATCAACCCGAACCCGCTTGACCCGCAACCCGCTTGACCCGCAACCCGACTGAACCCGACCCGAACCCGCCCGATTGACACCTATAGTTGTCTCCCACCAACACCGATGGTTGACTTGCCGTTGACCCACGAAGAGATGAGGTGATGAGCAATTGCGAAAGGGCCAGGGAAGAACATTGGAGCAAGTTCACCGCTTTCTACATTGAAATCTGCAGACAAGCTCTGACCTTTTTCGACACCCTTGCACATCTGCTCTACTTTGGCTGCTGCTGTTGTTTGTGCCTTCTTGTACTCTGCTAAAGACAGTGCTTTCTGTACTTCTTCTCGGCTGTGCCATTCCGCATCTGCACAGTCACATGGGAAGATTCAATATCATTCTCATTTCAAAGCAATATATATATAAGCATCAGTTGACCAACCAGAAAGATTCCATCTACATATAAGCAGCATGTGAGCTTTCTTTCTTTCACGAGGGAAGAGCAAGGGTGAATGAAGAAGAGCACGAAATAGGTTTTTGATTACCTTCTAACTCGGTTTTGTCGACATTGATTTCCAGTGTCTTTGCATAAGCAAAGAAACCAACCATCAGTTGGCATGGCATGCTGTTTGGGCCAACTGAAAAAGAAACAGCGAAAGCAATAAAACGTTAGCAGCCTATGCATCCATACAGTTTTGAATCAACGGTAGGGAATAGAACTCTTAACAATGGTAATGATTTTGACATAAGGGCACTTATGAAAGGTTGCCAAGTTCTTTGTGTTCGAATTCAGAAGCAAGACTAATCATGTTTCCTTCTACAAAGTTCATATCTTTCTAAACAGTTACAATAACAGGTAACAATGTAACCAATGGATGAAAAGATACCAGGCCATGGCTGAGAGCTATGATAGACAACTTCTCCTACTTCAATTCCAGCCTCTTCAAAAGTTTCTCTCCTCACAGCCTCTTCTAAGCTCTCTCCAGGCTGCACAAGAATTCCCGAAAAACCGAAGTCAATCACAGAACTACATACCCCCAAGAGGAAACAATTTCAGAATTATGGCCCTCATACCTCTATAAAACCAGCTAAGCAACTCCACATTCGAGGTACAAATCTCGATTGTCTGCTCAAAAGGACTCGATCATTCTCTTTGTCAATAACCAACATGATCACAACCTATATAAGAGTCAGCCAAGAAGGCTTAGAAGAGGGCTATGCACTCATTAAGCAAATTGAATCACCAATCACAGAAAGAGAATGAAAGCATGAAAATTACCGGATCAATACGAGGATAGACTCTCGCCTTACATGTCTCATTCGAGCATTGTTTCCTTCTGCCAGCTTCGGCAGGGACAGTATTTGCTCCACAAGATCCACAGAAACGACTTAGCTTATGCCATTCTAGCAATGCTCTTGCCTAAACAAGAGAAACCAAGCAGCCAAGAAATATCTGTAAAAATCTACTCAGCACAGCAGAATATCTCACTGAAGTTCAGGATGAAAAAATGACACCGAATGATTCAAAATCATCCATTCACAAGTTCATCCTTTCCGCTTTACCACGCAGCATCAGCAATAGACAAACTAATTAATATCCCCTTAGGAACCCTACAAAAGAAGATTCACTAGAGTTCATACCAACCTACTGCAACAGAGAGGGTTAGAAAACACAAACTTACATGACCAGCAATGGCCAAATCCGCCATGGCGCGATCATCAGTCCAATCAGCAGCCACCATAAGAGTTCTCAACTCCACAAAACAGAGTCGTTTCCCACCCAATTCAGGAACCAAACTATTATCACTAGAAACATCAATTGCCCAGTAAACTACATCCTCATCAGGCATGAAACCCAGAAACACCAAGCTCTCGGCGGTCAATTCAACTCCAGACTTAGCCAGATACCCTCTGCAATTAGCAAGACCAATCCATCCCAGATGCCAATTTGGCCCCGAAGCATCGCCGCCGTCCCCATCGACGGAAGAAGCCAGAGGCCGGCCCTTCCTGAAGGGCAAAACTTGGAAACTAGGAGAAATCAACTGGTTGCTACTGGTACTCTCCATGAGCCGGCTCCTGAGGGTTTCGAGGGCAGAGGATGGGGAAAACGGGTCGCCAGGCTTGGGAATAGTGGATCTCAGAGGGTTTCCGGCGAAGGCATGGGCTTGCAAGTTAACGGACATGGTGGAAGTTGTGATGCAGAAGGAGATAACTCTGGTTATGACTTTTCTGAGAAAGAAGGGAGAAGCAGGGGAAGTTCGTCGAGGGGTTAGCAGAAGGGAGGAAATGAGAGCAGAGTTGGTTACAGAAGAAGAGAAGAGGGAAAGAAGCATGGCTCAATTATAAATGGCTGAGCCATTGGTGGCTTTTGGGTTGAATGTGGAAGAAAAAGGTTGGAGCTTTGTTTGGTTATGGTGGTGACTCAGGAAGGCGGGTAGGTTTGCGGACATCTGTCCCTGTCTTGTGGGTGAAATCTTTAGATTTACGGTTCCTCCCTCCGAAGTCCATCCTCCTCATCCAAAACTTCAAATGCCTCATGGAATTTTCCTTTTCCATACCCTAAATCCCGTTATTTCAACAATAGATGACTCCAACGACCAACATTTAAACCTCACCATTGGATTATTCGGACTTTCAGAAAATTGAATGCTTGATTTTGCTTTTCAATATTACCTAATGGTCTCTACAAAGAACCATAATTTAGAAAATTGTGATAGTGGAAGGTGATTTTGAGATGGTCATCAACCAGATCAAATAAGATATCCTAGAAGGTTCATTTGGAGGTTCGATGCTTCGGAAGTGTCATTAGATTCTAGACTCTTTGTCAGTTTGTATAGAGTTTAGGGCGGTTCCCAGAGCCACCAAAGTTAGGGTCTTTCGATTTTTCTCTTTTTAGAGTTAGAGTCTTTCGATTTTTGGATGGCTTCACCAGGATGTAGCATATAAGGGGTTCCTGGATAAATTTGTCTATATAACTCTTGTCCTCTCTGAATATCACTCGAAAATAAAAATAAAAATAAATATAAAAATCGTGATAAGATCGATTAGTCTACTACCATGACTAAAGCCTTTCTCCGACTCATCCTAGCATAAATGGACATTGCACGAGAAATTATGGTCAAAGGTTTGGCTATGCAACAGTTTGATGACCTCGTTAGAACAGAGTAAGAGAGTGATTAGCAGTCTGCCCATCGTGTTTTTTCCCCTTTTAGAAACTGTTGGGCATATGACTCGGGCCTAGCCGCGCCAAGGAACAAGTCGCGACTAAAGATACCCCAACGTGGCAGCGCGAAGACCCCGAGCGCGACACCTTATCGTAGTTAACCACGTCTCGGCGCGAGGAGCTTAGGCGCAGAACGGGTCACATGCGCTAAGGGAGGTCATAGCGTAGACTAAGCCAAAGGGATGAGGAAAGCGTGGCTTTCCTCCCCAAAAGGTAGTCACATCAGGGCCCTAGACAGGTCTCTGACACGTCCTAGGTAGAGGGATGGCCTGGACATGGCCTAAAATCCTTAGCATGCCAATAGTCACATCATTGTACCCTAGTAGTCACATCATTGCATCCTCACATGAGTCAACCACTCACCCACCACCATGAGGCCTATAAATATGGCATTTACTACGGTGGGTGAGGGGATCGGATTTTTGGCCATTCTCTCTCCATAGTAACAACTTCGCTCTCTAAAATTCCGACTCTCATTCTCACCAAACTCTCTAATTCTCGCCCTTCCGATCAAACCCGACGCTGGCGTTTCTTCTTGACCCAAACTCTCACTCGAATCTCACTCCTACACTCAGTTAGGTTCAAACAATTGGCGCCCACCGTGGGGCCAAGAAGAAACGCAGAAGAAAATCCACCAATGGCAGAACGCAACCACGACCAACCTGACGAAGCGACGCCAATCAAGGCAATGACCGACCCAAGGGCGTTCGCAGAAGCCAGCGACCTCCACGCGGTGCTCATCGAAGAAGAAGAGCCCGAACTGACAGCCAAAGAAATGAGGGAGCTGGTGACGAAGCAAAACAACGTCATAGCTGACATGCAGAAACAAATGAGCCAAGTCATCGCGCTCATGATGAGCAAGGAGGTCGCGCCAACAGTAGACGCAACGGCGGTCGCGCCTCAACAAGCCTTGGGAGAAGCGTCGGGAACCGCCCAACTACCACAACACGCGCCAACGGAATTCCCCGCGTGCGAAACGCAGGGAATTGAACCACCAGGGCGGGCGGACCTCAGCTTCTTAGAGCAACACTTGTCTCCGCAATACCGACCCAACCCGCCTAAGAGGGTCCTCCACTAGCCATTGAGCGCGCAAATTATGGCGGAGCACCTAAGCGGAGCGCCACCCACCCTCCCAACATACAACGGCACGACCGACCCAGAAGACCACGTGAGCACCTTCTGCTTGCGCATGCAACTGCAAACCAACTCCAATGCGGCGCTGTGCAGAACCTTCCCATCAACGTTCTCCGGAATATGTCTCGACTGGTATAACCGGCTCCCGAACGGAATCATCCGCTCGTTCGAGGAGTTCATACTTCTGTTCACAACAAAGTTCGCGTCCCAGAAGCGGCGCCCTCTACACCTCAAGGCCCTGATAGATATCAGACAAAAAGACGGAGAAAGCCTGAGGGCTTTCTACGCTAGATGGTCCAGGGTGGCAATGGCCGTCCGCGATCTTACCCCCGAAACTGCCGCCCATCACCTCATGGAGGCCACCAGCAACATGGAGCTCAAACGGGCGTTAGCGAAAAGGCCTGTAACGCTATCAACGGAGTTGGAGATGAAGATTGAAAAGGCAATCACGTTAGAAGAGACCCTAGGGGCAGGATCCGTCAGACGCTTCGAACCAGCAAAAATGCCACGAGAGGAACAGGGGTGTCGGTAGCCTCTAACCCCGATCCCACGAGACCAATTGCTACAGATGCACAGTGGTCCAAAACGCCACCCTCCTCCCCCACCAGAGCAAGTTCAGCGTGGGCGATCGCCAGACAGGCGCGCGTCCAACGCCTACACTCCCCTTAACGACTCCGTGAAGAATGTGTTCCACGTTCTCCGCGAGAAAGGCTACAAGCTCAATTGGCCTGCTCCGTTGAGGTCCCTACCCCACATGCGCGATCCAAAGAAGCATTGTGACTTTCACAGAGCAACGGGGCACCGGACGGAAGACTGCCGAGAGCTACGGTACGAAATAGAAGGCCTAGTACGGCGAGGATTGCTGACCGAGTTCATTCATGTAAAGAAAGAGCAAGTTGAGGGCCCACAGCACCCGCCGCCACCCCCGCAAGCCGACTACGACGATGACACGGGCGCATATGTAGTGCGCAAAGAAATCGGGGTGGTGACGGTTGAAGGAGATCGCCCCAAGAAAAAAACCAAGCGTGAGCGCGCGACGGAGTGCGCGGCCATCGACGCACGGACAAAATTCAATCTGAGCTTTGACGACGCGGAGTTCCCACAAGGGGTCCCATCAGAGGAGCCACTCATCGTCACCGCGCTAATTGCCGCCTGCAAGACCCACCGTCTGCTGATAGACGGAGGTAGCGCGGCTGACATCCTCTTCCAAAGCACCATTGACATAATGGACATCGACCCGCGCCTAATCAAGCACGCGCAAGGCAACCTGGTCGGTTTCTCCGGAACCAGAGTCCCGGTAATCGGAGTGGTCACCCTCCCAGTGGTAATCGGAGACCAAGAGCCGCGCGTCTCCAAGCAAGTAGAGTTCACAATCGTCGATTTCAAATCGGCGCACAACGGCATCCTGGGCCGACCTTTCCTTGCGAAGTTCATGGCCCTCCCGATTTCGAGGTCGCGCTGGACCCCGCCGAGCCGACTAAGAAAATACGCATCTCCACTCACGTCAGCAGTGACGCGATCGAACCACTCGTGGCGCTGCTGAAGGAGTACAAGGAGCTGTTCGCGTGGTGCACAGAAGACATGCCAGGAGTGCCCAGGGAAGTAGCTCAAAATTGCCTTGCGGTCCCAACCAACGCGGAACCAAGGCAACAAGGGCGGAGAACGTTCACTGGTGATAAGCTGAAGGCGATAGAAGAAGAGGTAGCGCGCCTACTAGCAGCAGGATTGATCCGCCCCGTGAAATATCCAAAGTGGCTGGCAAACGTGGTCTTGGTTAAAAAATCGTCAGGAGCCTGGAGAATGTGCGTCGACTACACCACGATTAACAAAGTATGCCCGGGAGACCCTTATCCCCTACCGCGCATCGACCAGCTGATCGACGCGACCGCCGACCATGAGACATTTTCTTTCCTCGATATGTTCTCAGGATACCACCAAATCCCAATGTCCATTGAAGACGAAGAAAAAACGGCTTTCATGACGCCGTTCGGAAACTTTTGCTTCGTCGGGATGCCGTTCGGATTGAAAAACGCGGGCGCGACGTACCAGAGAATGATTGACACGGTTTTCTCACGACATATCGGGCGGAACATCAAGGAATATGTGGATGACCTCATCGTCAAAACGAAGGTGGGCAAGTCACACCTGGAGGACCTGCGCGAGACTTTCGAAGCCCTCCGCAAGCACAGCCTTCGCCTCAACCCACTCAAGTGCATTTTTGGAGCGGAAGCGGAGAAATTTCTTGGGTTCATGATAACCAAGCGCGGCATAGAGGTCGACCCGAAGCAAATCACCGCGGTCCAACAACTACGGGCGCCTCGGAACGCGTTGGAAATCCAATCTCTGAACGGCAAGATAGCGGCACTGGGGAGGTTCATACCAAGGTCCGCCGACAAATGTGCGCCCTTCTTCCAAACACTCAAGAATAGCGCGCGTTTCGCATGGTCCAAGGAGTGCGAAACAGCATTCCAAGAACTAAAAGCATACCTTGTATCCCCCCCTGTACTAACCGCTCCCAAGATTAATGAAAAACTCTTCTTGTACCTCGCTGTGTCGACAAGGGCTGTGAGCGCAGTACTGATATCCAGAAGGGATGGCAAGACTGAGCAACCGGTGTATTACACTTCGCGTACGCTCGTCAGCGCAGAAACAAGATACTCCTCGATAGAAAAGGCTGCCCTGGCTCTGGTAAGCGCGTCACAGAAATTGCGCCCATACTTCCAAGCGCACCAAATTACCGTCCTGACGAATCTTCCGCTAAAAAAGATCCTGACCTCAATGGAAGTGTCGGGGTGCATGGTCAAATGGGAGGTCGAGCTTTCGGAGTACGATATTCAATATGCGCCACGACCAGCAATAAAGGCCCAAATCCTAGCGGATTTCATCGCCGAGGGGGTAACCCTGGAAACAGCGCCAGAAGGTGTATGGGAAGTTTACGTCGACGGGGCAGCGAGCAAGTACGGCGCCGGCGCAGGGGTTGTGGTGCGCACCTCCAACGGCGTGGTACACGAAATAGCGATAAGGTTCAGGGCGCTGAAGACAAATAACGCCGCTGAATATGAGGCCATCTTGGCGGGGATGACAGCCGCCCATGACTTGGGCGCCAGAACGATACGAGTACTCTCCGACTCCTCCCTGGCAGTCAATCAGTTAAACGGGGCATTCGACGCAAAGGAAGATACACTGGCGCATTATATGGAGCGCGTTAAG